TTTTCTGTGGTGAGGTTCCCAAATGCCGGTGGGACCTCGACCCCTGCTGGTGTCCAGGCTTTTGTCACTGTCATGAGAAGGAATTAAAGGACTAGTAAAAAAAACAGTGAAAGTACAGAGATTTATTGCAAAGTGAGAAATACACACTCAAGAAAGGCAGGTGCAGGTGTTCTCAAGACAGTGAGCTGTGCCATTGGGTTTGGGGTTTCTATCTTTATGGGTTTCCTTAACCAAGGGGTGGAATATTCATGAAGATTCCTGGGAAAATGTAAAGATTTCTCAGAACTCTTGCCGCCCATTTTTACACCAAATATGAGTGTTCCTGGGACTGTCCAGGTGCTGGTGGGTGTGTGATTTAGTATGTTAATAAGTGTATAATGAGGTCCTAGGAGAAACCTAGGTCAAATTCAGCCCCAGGTTGGGTCCAGCTGATCTTAGCCAGCTTGGCCTATACCCTGGTTTTTCAGGGTTTTATCAGCCCCTAGCTTATGCAGCCATTTCAAAAGTTTCCTTTTGTCAGTCACGTGAATCTGCTGCTTAGAATTTTCCTTTTCTTTTCTTGTTTTTTTTGAGACAGAGTCTCACTCTGTTGCCCAGGCTAGAGTGCAGAGGCACGATCTCGGCTCACTGCAACCTCTGTCTCCCAGGTTCAAGTGATTCTCCTGCCTCACCCCGCTAGTAGCTGGGATTACAGGCATGCACCACCATGCCTGGCTAATTTTTGTATTTTTAGTAGAGACGGGGTTTCGCCATGTTGGCCAGGCTGGTCTCGAACGCCTGACCTCAGTTTATCCACCCTCCTCGGCCTCCCAAAGTGCTGGGATTACAGGAATGAGCCACCGCACCCAGGCTGCCTGGAATTTTTTATTCTTCTGCCACTGCCCTGTATTATTCTTGTGTCAACATGGGGTCCAGATATCTACATTCTTGTGAGTAGTGAGTACATTGTAAGCTAGTTACATGTGTTAACTGATTTAATCCTCACAATAATATTATTATACTATTAACTTCATTTTCTTTTTTTTTTTTTTTTTTTTTTTTGAGACAGGGTCTCACTTTGTCACCCAGGCTAGAATACAATGTCGCGATCACAGCTCACTGCAGCCTTCAACTCCTAGGCTCAAGCAATCCTTCTACCTCAGCCTCTAGAGTGCCTGGGACCATAGGCATATGCCACCATGCCTGGCTAATTTTTTGAATTTTTTTAGAGAAGAGGTCTCATTGTGTTGCCCAGGCTGGTCTTAAACTGCCGGGCTCAAGTTATCCACCCACCTTGGCCGGCTAACTTCATTTTTAACACATGAGGAGTTGAAGTCACAGAGTGGTTCCATTTGCTAAATTACAGGGCTGGGGATTTGAACCCAGGCCACCTGGCTCTCTTAGCCAAGGCAGTGAGAGGCTCCACCTACCTCAGTCCTAGCCGAGCTGGGGTGTATGAAGAACAACCTTGCTGCTTCTCCTTGTTTCCAGCTTGTGTATGAACAACCAGTCCTCAGAATGGAAACACTCCTTTCTTTGATATGCTAATACATTCCTTGGTCAGGGTAACAAGGCCTGAGATCCACTCTGTTTCCTTCAGATGACTGTCTGAATCTACCTTACTGGTTCAAAACTTTCTCTCAGAGGACAATGGCTCCACCCTTATTTCCTAGTTATTGTGGGACACCTCCCCAGGGTACCCCAGTTCTGTCAACAAACACCCACTCAGATCATTGGAAATCTAAACCAGTCTAAAAATTTCAGAGGCGGGATTGTCTCATTTTTTTTTCTTTACACAATAAACTTTTGAAATGCTACAAGCAAAAAGAATTCTGGAATTTGTAGATATTTAGATGCTTTGAGGGACTGGGCTGTTAGAGGAACCCTAATGTGAAGGCTTTTGTTAAGTGGAGGACCAGATTTGTAAATCAAACTATCACCCCCCAGCCAGATAAAAACAACAGCTTCCATTTCCTGGCTCTGGCTCTTACTACATACAGACTAGAAATTGCAAGAGCTTTACATCTGTCATCATCTCTCTCTAATAACACCTTTATAGAGGTATAATTCACACACCGTACTTTTAAAGTATGCAATTCAGTGGATTTTTTTTTTTTTTTTTTTTTTTTTTTTTGAGGAGTTTCACTCTTGTTGCCCAGGCTGGAGTGCAATGGCATGATTTCAGCTCACTGCAACCTCCGCCTCCCAGGTTAAAGCAATTCTCCTGCCTCAGCCTCCCCAGTAACTGGGATTACAGTCATGCGCCACCACAACCAGCTAATTTTGTATTTTTAGTAGAGATGGGGTTTCTCCATGTTGGTCAGGCTGATCTCAAACTCCTGACCTCAGGTGATCCACCTGCCTCAGCCTCCCAAAGTGCTGGGATTACAGGTGTGAGCCACTGCGTCCGGCCGGTTTTTTTTTTTTTTTTTTTTTCTGTATATTCACAAGGGTATGAAGCAGTTACCACTAATTCCAGAATGTTTCCATCACCTGAAAAAGAAACCCCATGCCGGTTAGCAGGCACTCCCCCATTCCTCAGCCCCTGGTTAACCACTAATCTACTTCCTGCATCTATTTGACTATTCTGGATATTTCATATAAACGGACCTGTACAATGTGTAGTCTTTTGTGCCTGGCTTTTTTCATGTAGCATGTTATCAAGTTTCATCCACGTTGTAGCTTTATTTCCTTTTTATAACCAAATACTATTCTATCGTATGAATACGCTACATTTTGTTTATCTACTCATCAGTGGATGGACATTTGGGTTGTTTCCAGTTTGGGGGTACCATCATTTCTTTTAATCTTTATGCCACCTCTGGAAGTGTGTATTGCTGTCCTCCAATGATTGACTGAGTGAACTGTGTTTTCTTTCTTTTGATCTCTTTTTGTTTATACAGATGGGGCCTCCCTGCATTGCCCATGCTGGAGTGCAGTGGCCATTTACAGGGGCAATCATAGTGCACTGCAGCTGCTAACTCCTGGTCTCAAGGGATCCTCCTGCTTCAGCCTCCCGAGTAGCTGGGACTACAAGCCGCACCACCATGCCCAGCTAATTTTTGTATTTCTAGTAGAGACAGGGTTTCACCATGTTGGCCAGGCTGGTCTTGAACTCCTGACATTGTGAATGACGGGCCTCGGCCTCCCAAAGTGCTAGGATTACAGGCGTGAGCCACCATACCCTGCCACTTAAAGTACATTTTAATAAAGAAATAAACGCTGGGCGTGGTGGTTCACGCCTGTAATTCTAACACTTTGGAAGGCTAAGGCCGGCAGATCACGAGGTCAGGAGTTCAAGACCAGCTTGGCCAAGATGGTGAAACCCCATCTCTACTAAAACTACAAATAAAATTAGCCGGGCGCAGTGGTAGGCACCTGTAATCCCAGCTACTTGGGAGGCTGAGGCAGGAGAATCGCTTGAACCCAGGAGGTGGAGGTTGCAGTGAGCCGAGACTGAGCCACTGCACTCCAGCCTGGGCTACAGAGTGAGACTCTATCTCAAAAAAAAAAAAGGAAAGAAAAATAAGGTACATTTGTGGAAGTATAATGACTAACTGTCAGATGTTATCTTATGTGTAAAAGAGGCAAGGATTAGTGTAATTTATCATTTAAGGAATATAGTAACTCAGGCAGGAGACATGAGGGCCCATGTGTCCTATTCTGTTTTATCTTCAAAACATCTTTCCGGTCCTGTTTCTCACATCAGAACAGAATTTCTGTACCTTCTTTCCAACCCCACTGCTACGTTAATCAAATGAAAATGTCCTGAGCCATGAATCCAGGTCCTGGAGTGCAGAATCTTTCTATCAAGAAAAATTCTGGCATTATTTTATGTTTGCAGCACTCACTGGACTCTAAGAGGTCACCTGGTCCTTTCCTCAGCCCACAAGATTCCTGAAGAAGAGCAGTAGCTCAGAGGTTTTACTCTGCAGCCCTGACTGGATTCAGATATCCTGTCTGTGTGTTAACAGCGGCATGACTTTTGGCTCAGAGACTTTGGGACTCTCTGAGCTTCAGTTTGGCCAATATAAAATGGAATTAGTAACAGCGAGGAGTGAGTGAAGCAATGACAAGGGCCTGTCATATTGTAAACTCAAACTCTGGCTTCGTATTTCCCTATTCACTGTGGATGGGGAGATGTCTCCGTGCCAAGTTGACCCCCTCCCCAACTCTGCACACGCTGGCCCTTTTCCCTAATCATCTCCCACCGCCTGCATCCCCCACTATGTTTTCCTGGGTAACTTCTTATTCTTCAGATCTTATTTTATTTTTAAAAAATTAATTTTATTTATTTATTTATTTTTTGATGGAGAGTCTTGCTGTGTCGCCCAGGCTGGAGTGTAGTGGCGCGATCTCGGCTTACTGCAACCTCAGCTCCCGGGTTCAGGCGGTTCTCCTACCTCAGCCTCCTGAGTAATTGGAATTACAGGCGTGCGCCATCACGCCCGGATTTTCAGTAGATATGAGGTTTCACCATGTTGGTCAGGCTGGTCTCAAATTTCTGACCTCGTGATCCGCCAGCCTCAGCCTTTCAAAGTGCTGGGATTATAGGCGTGAGCCACTGCGACTGGCCTATTTTAATTTTTTAATTTTAATTTTTTTGAGACAGAGTCTTGCTCTGTCACCCTGGCTGCAGTGCAGTGTCACGACCTCGACTCACTGCAGCCTCCACCTCCCGGGTTCAAGCGATTCTCGTGCCTCAGCCTACCAACTAACTGCGATTACAGGCGCGTACCACCACGCCCAGCTAATTTTTGTATTTTTAGTAAAGACAGGGTTTCTCCACGCCCGCCAGGCTGGTCTCGAACTCCTCACCTGAAGTGATCCGCCCACCTCAGCCTCCCAAAGTGCTGGGATTACAGGCTCGTGAGCCACTGCGCCTGGCCTTCAGATCTTATCTCAAACACCACTTCCTTGGCACAGCATTCAGAGACACCTCCACATCCCTCTCCCGTTACTAAAGGTTCCTTCTTACGGTACCCTGCGTTTTTCCTTCATGACTTTATCAGTTTGTAATTGTCTATTTATTTTAATTAACCTGTCTGTGTCCATAAACTGTGAGCTCCGCCGGGACCTGCTCTCTGCTATGTCCTCAGTATCAACAGTGGTCTAGGATCACAGCAGGCTTTCATCAAATATTTATGGGAAACAGTCCAGTCCATTCCTGAACTCGGGTTCAGAAAAGGATAGCGACCTGTCCAAAATCACACAGGTTAGCGGTAGACTTGATCCCAAGTCTCCTAACTGGCAACCCAAGACTCTATCCCTGGAACTGGCAAGAATCTTTCTAAACTACCCCCCCGATAAAATTTTGAGTGCCAAAGAAAGTCTCAGAAAGGGAGGGAGTGAGCAGTGTGGAGAGTAGGAAGAAAGTGATTTGACTTGGCCCCTTCTCTCTTAACGTTAATGCGAGCTTACTGCAAACTGAGGGACTATAGCAATAACGACGTGACAGGGCGACTACACTGCGTGAACCAATGACCCGGCAGCCATGAAAACAGGCCAGGGAGGGGAGCGGGGAGGAGAGTGGAGACCCTGCGCAGGCGCAGTCGAGGCGCTCAGCTCCTTTCTCCTCTGCCCCGCCCTATCTCTCCCTAATCACAGAAGTCCAAGAGCGGTCAGCTGATGCTACGCTGCGCGGCCACGTGACAACAGGGAGGGGCGAAGCGCAGGCGCAAGGAGCAGGCGCAGATGGTGGGCGGCTGTGTCAGCTGACCCAAGGGGCCTTCGAGGTGCTTTAGGCGGCTTGCCTTGGTCTCAGAATCGCTGCCGCCATGGCTAGTCAGTCGCAGGGGATCCAGCAGCTGCTGCAGGCCGAGAAGCGGGCAGCCGAGAAGGTGTCCGAGGCCCGTAAAAGTGAGTTTCAGGGTGGTGCTGCCCAGCGTGGCGCGAGTCGAAGGAAGACCGCTGGGCCGCAGGTGGTGGGTAGATTAGGCCCGAAAAACTGCGGGGTGCGGCCTTGGGCATAGTCGCGGAAGGTTGTGTGTTTCGAAGCTCTGAGGAGCTGAGGCTCTGGAAGGCTTGCGAATCGCCTGGAAGCCAAGATGTGAGATGGTAAATTGGGCGTGGAAACAGTAATGGGTTACCGTCCTTGGGGCCTGGAGGCATGTGAAGTGGGCTCTCCAAACGGAGCTCTTTGTTCTTCCCCTCTCCCACTTAAGTGCTCTGGGGTGGTCAGTTTCGGTGAATGGAGCCAGCATCCACACGGTTGCTTGGTCTGGAAAACTGGAGTCCTACTTGCCTCTTCTCCCTCCCTCGTTTGCCACCTTTAGCCAGTCGCCAAGGCTTGCGTATCTTTCACTTTTTCCTCCATGTCTACTACCAGCGTCTTAGTCCAGGACACTAGTTTCTCTAAAGGTACTGTAACTATCTAAGTCGTTGATTGGTGTGTGTGTGTGTGTTCTGGGGGGAAGGTGTCTGTGTTTCTGTGTAATATGTGGCAAGCGCAGTGCCCAGTGCATCAGTTGTCTCCCCTAACGTGGCATTCAGTGTCGCAGTGAAGGAAGCAGGTATTGGATCGCTTAATTAATTGCAGGAGAGATGAGGGCTGGAGTGGACAAATGGAAGTTTGCTAAAGAATTTAAACAGGTGAGTTTAATCTAGACTGGGGAGTGGAGGAACCCGTTCTAGTCCCCTCCAGTCAATCCATTCTCTCTGCAGTCAGTCATCCTTCTAAAATGCAAAGATGTGACTTCCTGCTGGCAAGGAACAAAATAAATAAATGCAGATATGATTTTCCTACCGCCTTTGCAGTCAGACGTTTAGTGCCTGCAGAAGAAAGCTCAAATTCCTTAATGAAGTTGTGGAGGCTCCTGTGGGTCAGGCTTGGTCCTTTCCTCCAGCCATACTGAATCATTGTGGTCCCTTAGAAGCACCATGATTTCTTTCATCTGCAGGTCTTGGCACACGCTGTTTCCTCTGATGGGAGAAGCCTTTTCCAATTCTCCTCGCCTTTGTTCTCTGACCCTTAGTCTTCCATCAGACCTGAAAATTTAGGAAGCACTTCTTCGGGGAAGCCTTTCCTGACTCATGCTTCTCACCCGGATTAGGCTTGGAGTCCCTCCCAAGTGCTGATTTCTGCCACTGCTGTGCAATAACCTATTTGTTTATATGGCTCAGTCACTCGACTAAGCTTCTGCAGAACAGAAACTATGTCTCATTTAACTTTATGTATCTAGTTTCCCATCTGGTGAGAAAGATGCTTCTTTCCCTATTTTACAGATGGTAAAAATGAGGCTCAGAAATGATTTGTCCATACCCTGGGAAGCAACATAGTTGGGACTCAGAAGCCTCTTTTTCCATGCAAGGCTAAGATACTGATCTTAGTAATTCCTTGGTGTTTCTCCTAGTATAGGAGTTATTCTATCTGACATCCAACTAGATTGCAAGCGTGTCTCTTCTACTTGTGCAATTAGGGGTTGTGTGGTACTTGGAAAGCTTTTTATGAGGGTGTTGGGAATGGGAGGAAGCCTTTTGTTCTTGCTCCAGTGACTGGAAAGTTCTTTGTTCTTCCCAGAATATTTCCAGTCATGCCCTTGATAGAGTATTTCCAGAATGACTTCTCAGAGTTTGTGTTCTGATGGCTCATCAGTAACAGAAGTTGTATCTGTCGGGAGGGATAGGAGAATAGATTGGGGAAGTGCAGAAAAAAATGCTTGGAATATTGTAAGAATAATTCTGAGTACCCTGGCCAGGTAGGATTTATGTTTTATACCTTTATCCTGTCAAGCCTGGTGCAGGGTTTTGTGTATCTCAGGTAGCTGTGAATTTGTTTTAAAAAGTATTAGTTTGGCCTCACACCTGTAATCCCAGCACTTTGAGAGACCGATGTGGGTGTATCACCTGAGGTTGAGAGTTTGTGACCAGCCTGGGCAATATGGAGAAACTCCGTGTCTACTAAAAATACAAAAATTAGCTGGGCGTGGTGGTGTGCGCGTGTAGTCCCAGCTACTTGGGAGGCTGAGACAGGAGAAACGCTTGAACCCAGGAGGCAGGGGTTGCAGTGAGCTGAGAGCATGCCACTGTACTCCACCCTGGGGAACAGAGGGAGACGCCGTGTCCCCCCTTCGCCCCAAAAAACAGTATTAGTTTACGGCTAACATACGTCTCAGATTTTTTTTTTTTTGAAGACAGTCTCACTCCGTCACTCAGGCTGGAGTGCAATGGCACCATCTTGGCTCACTCCAACCTCCACCTGCCGAGATCAAGAGATTTTGTGCCTCAGGCTCCCAAGTAGCTGGGATTACAGGTGCCCGCCACCATGCCTATCTCTATTAAAATACAAAAACATATAAATTAATCAGTACGTAAATAAATACAAAATAAATTTTTGTATTTTAGTAGAGACAGGGTTTTACCATGTTGGCCGGGTTTGTCTCAAACTCTCGGCCTCCCAAAGTGCTGGGATTACAGATATGAGTCGCTGTGCCTGTCCTGTCTCAGAATTGTTAATAGGAGCAGAGGTATTCAGAAGAACTGCAGTTTGAAAAATTGCCTTTCTTGATTTATAATTATGGTTGACTTGCCCAGTTAAGAGTTGGGAAGAGGCAGTATGTAAAATGGTCCCATCCAATTTTTTAATGAAATCATTACGTTGGACCTTAAATTTATTTTTTTATTTATTTTTATTTTTATTTTTTTGAGATGGCGTCTCGCTCTGTCGCCCCCAGGCTGGAGGGCAGTGGTGTCAGCTGACTGCAACCTCTGCCTCTTGGGTTCAAGTGATTCTTCTGCCTCAGGCTCCCGAGTAGCTGGGACTTCAGGCGCTCGCCACCATGCCCAGCTAGTTTTTGTGTTTTTAGTAGAGACGGGGTTTCACCATATTGGCCAGACGGGTCTCGAACTCCTGACCTTGTGATCCGCCCATCTTGGCCTCCCGAAGTGCTGGGATTACAGGCGTGAGCCAACAAGCCTGGCCTGGACCTTAAAATTTTTAAAAAGTTTGTGTTAATGGCATATTTGATTGGAGTGAAAGAAAACACTGGCTCCCATATGTAAGGCCCAAGAAAAACAAGATTTAAGAGAAATACGATTTTCTGTTTAAATATTTTTGATTTTTAGAGGCCCGTATCAAATTGAATGTTGAAGATGTTTGCCAAAGGCAGTAAATGGTATTATCTTGAGTTATAAATGCAGGGAGCCATGGGAGTTGGGAGTGATGTCTTGTGGAGCTACTGCATAATGTTTGGGCCATGAGTGTTTTTTGTAGGTTATTGGTTTCAAAAATATCTTTAGCTTTGAAATATAGCCCATTGTAGCTGATGGGAGGATAGCATGTGAAGGATTGGGGTACAGGTGGCCGAAGCAGACCAGTAATAGGCCAGAAATAATACTGGAATGAACGTGGACTTACAGAAATAGTCCTTGGAGTGCTTAGAGAGAGACCTGTTAATTGTTTCAGACTAACGTCAGGGAATGTTGATGTCATGGGTCACTTCATTACAGGTCCAAAGTTCTGTTGTTAATCAGGAGGTGGAAGGTTAAGTTTATTTTCATTTACCCACACGGGCTCTAGACAGTTGATATACAATTATGTGTATAACAAAGCCTAATTTTAGATGCAGGATGTCTTTTGCTCTGAATTAAATAAATAGGTTGATGGTCTAGAACCCCTCTTTTTTTTTTTTTTTTTTTGGTGAGTGGAGACTCAAAGCAGAGGGTATATGTTGGCTGTCCTTGTGGTCTGTTTTCATGTAGGCTCTGACCAAACCTAGAGGTTTTTTCCAGCTGTATGTTAAGCCACTCACTTCTAGAAACCAAAATACCTGTGTCTCCTCTTCTCTCAGCTGCTTGTGCAGTCTGACTGTACAGTGTTCCTCATTCAGCATTCCTTCGCAAGTCACCACTATCATTACTTCCTTGTGACAGGCACTGCTTTTAGTTTCCAATGTTACATCATCTGGTTCATTAGTTACATTATAGGCTGATGTCCTTGGGAGCTTATTAGGCTTCTTGCTAAGCATCTAAGTAGGGTTGCAGCTTTAATGAGCAGCATACTTACGTGTTTACTTCTGGAGAAGAGTTCCCTAGATGGTTAATGTTACTCATTCTATGTTCGTTCTTAATAGTTGAGATTGAGAGAATATTCCGACACATTCTACAATTTTTTTCCATCTTTTTAATGGGCTGTAGTTATAGAAGGTATTCATTTTTGTTTTGTCACTTGCTAGTTAAGTACAGCCTATAGGAGGGAGGAACCTGTACTATTTGTTAGCTCTGCATTCCCTCTTTCCCATGTACATCTCGTCAGACTGGGTCATAATTTATTCTTGGTTTATTGTTATAATATACCATCTGAGTCTCTGCTTGCTTTTCTACTTTTAACCACTTCCTGATATAGCTCTCTCCTTTGAAAACAGGAAAGAACCGGAGGCTGAAGCAGGCCAAAGAAGAAGCTCAGGCTGAAATCGAACAGTACCGCCTGCAGAGGGAGAAAGAATTCAAGGCCAAGGAAGCTGCGGTGGGGCACCATTTGTTTTTGTTACTGCTTTCGTCTCCTAATCCCCCCTCCCACCAAGGCTTTCAAAATAGCCAGCATAGCTCAGAGATCCTGGTTGAATTTTGAAAATGTGGTAGTCATATGTTTTATTGACTGCTTAGGCATCTGTCTCTTAGGATGATCAGTTTTTCCACTCATATTGAGTCCTAATTTTCATTTATTCACTCATTTGACACATATCTGTTAGGCAGTTAACATGCCTCAGGTACTGTGCTAGATGCTAGGAATCAGCTGTGACCAGGAAGAGACATGGTCCCTTCCCTCATGGAGTGTAGCTTACCATCTGGTGGCCAGGGAGACTCAGTAATACAGTGCAAATCATGCAGAGCTACAACTGAAAAGTGCTGTGACGGTTGTCAACAAATCAAATGGAGCCCCACTTTAGTATAGTATATATAGTACAGACATTTACCAGTGATACAGGCTACAGTATGGTGCATACAATAATAGTACAAAAACAGAGAGTACAGAGGAGGCAGGCACAATTGTGGAAAGGGGAAAGGACAGAGGAGGGCTTCACAGAGAAAAGGAACTATCAGGACTCTTGGGTGCAGGTAACAAAATATAATTAAAACTGATTCTAAATGGAATGTAATGGCCTATATAATTAAAAACCCAAGAGCTTAAATAATATGTTCAGGACTTTCTCTCTCCTCTGTGTTTGACTTTGTATCATTCTCAAGTTCTACACTGTGGCCTCTAGTAGTTCCAGCATACACACTTCCAGGCCCAAGTCCAGTGATTAAAGGCACATACCTCTCTCCTTGCATTAAGTAGCAAAAATTTTGATCAATTTTTAATTTTTTCTTTTTAAGAGACAGAGTCACCTTCTGTCATTCAGGCTGTAGCTCAGTGGTGTGATCATAGCTCACGGTAGCCTGGAGCTCCTAGGCTTAAGCCATCCTCCCCTGCCCAGCCTTCTGAGTAGCTAGGACTATAGGCATGATCCATCATGCTCAGCTAATTTGTTTTGTTTTTGTAGAGATAGGGTCTTATTGTGTTGCCTTGACTGGTCTCGAACTCCTGGCCTCAAGTGATCCTCACATCTCGACCTCCCAAACTGGATCATCTTTGTTCTTGGCAATTACAGTGCCATTAAAACTTGGCTGGGCACAGTGACTCACACCTATAATCCCAACACTTTGGGAGGCTGAGGTGGGAGGATTGCTTGAAGCCACAAGTTCAAAACCAGCCTGGGCAATAAACCAGACCGTGTCTCTACAAAAAAAACAAGATAAATACAAATAAAACTTAACATATTTCTTTGATTCTTGAACTGGGGCTGATAGGTGCTGTAAGTTGTCAGATTGCTCATAAAACAATGTAGAAATACCCTTGTGTGTCAGGGCAGCCATTTTTTTTTTTGAGATGGAGTTTTGCTCTTGTTGCCCAGGCTGGAGTGCAATGGCATGATCTCAGCTCACCACAACCTCTGCCTCCCGGGTTCCAATGATTCTCCCGCCTCAGCCTCCCAAGTAACTGAAATTGCAGGCGTGTGCATCCGGCTAAGTTTGTATTTTTAGTAGAGACGGGGTTTCTCCTTGTTGGTCAGGCTAGTCTTGAACGCCCGACCTCAGGTGATCCGCCTGCCCCGGCCTCCCAAATTGCTGGGATGACAGGCGTGAGCCACCAAGCCCAGCACTTTTTTTTTTCCAAGATGGAGTCTTGCTCTGTCACCCAGGCGGGAATGCAGTGGTGTCATGTCGGTTCACTACAACCTCCATCTCCCAAGTTCAAATGATTTTCCTGCCTCAGCCTCCCAAGTAGCTGAGACTACAGGCATGCACTAACATGCCCGGCTAATTTTTCTATTTTTAGAAGAGATGGGGTTTCATTATGTTGGCCAGGTTGGTCTTGAACTCCTGACCTTGTGATTCGCGTGCCTCGGCCTCCCAAAGTGCTGGGATTACAGGCGTGAGCCACCACACCCGGCCCGTCTTCATATTTTTACATTCTTTTTTCTTTATTGTGGCACAGGCTTAGGAGGTCCCAATGACATGTGCCCTCATATTCTTACATTGTGTGTTGTAGTTGATTATAGAGATGGTACTGGTATTGCACTGTAAAGCACAAGCTCTGATTCCTTTTTTTCTTTCTTTCTTTCTTTTTTTTTTTTTTTTTTTTTGAGACAAGAGTTTCACTCTTGTTGCCCAGGCTGGAGTGCAGTGATGTGATCTTGGCTCACTGCAACCCCCACTTCCCAAATTCAAGTGATTCTCCTGCCTCAGCCTCCCGAGTAGGATTACAGGTGCCCACCACCACACCCAGCAATTTTTTTTCTTTTTTTTGTGTGTGTTTTTAGTAGAAACAGGGTTTCGCCATGTTGGCAGGCTGGTCTCGAACTTCTGACTTCAGGCGATCCACCTGCCTCAGCCTCCCAAAGTGCTGGGATTAGAGGTGTGAGCTACCACGCTCAATCAAGCTCTGAATCTTTCTAGCAGTGTTCCATTTATAACCTCTTTAGTTTTTGAGACAACTTAGCAGAGCCTGGCATATGGCTTATATTCAAGAAACAGGTAACGGGGTTCTGAACATAAAAGTATGAGTTAGCAACTAAGCTGTTATGAAATGCCTCGGGAGATTCCTGTAATATGAACAGTTATAGTATAGTATGAAGAGCCCTAAGGGCACAGTGGCTCCTGCCTGTAATCCTAGCACTTTGGGAGGCCAGGGTGGGTGGATCATTTGAGCCCAGGAGTTCAAGACCTGCGTGGGCAACATGGTGAAACGCTGCCTCTACAAAAAATACAAAAATTAGCTGGGCATGGCGGTGCATACCTGTAGTTCCAGCTACTCGGGAGGCTCAGGTTGGAGGACGGCTTGAGCCCAGAAGGTAGAGATTGCAGTGAGCCGAGATCATGCCACTGCACTCCAGCCTAGGCAACAGAGTGAGACTCCATCTTTTAAAAGGAGAAAATGGAGTGATAAAGTCAGGCACAGTGGTGCACACCTGTGGTCCCAGCTCTGCAGGAGGATCTCTTGAGCTTGGAGTCTGAGGCCATCCTGGGCAACATAGTGAAATCCCATCTTTTTGGGGGAAAAAAATGGAGTGATAGCCTCCTTATAGGTCGTTGTGAGAAATAGGTAATGTGAGAGAATCTTTTGCAAATTAATGTTATACAAATATGAAGGGATGTTGTTATTAGCATATATATATGTATAGTGAGGCAAGAACAGATTAGGTGAATAAAAAGGGTCTGACATAAAAGTTATGTCTTCCAAAACCTTACAGGTTAAGTTCTAGTAAAGGAGGCACAGCAGTTAACAAAAAGCTAGCTGTACTGTGAAGACCATAGAAGGTAAAAGAAAATTCATGTCAGTGTGTGTGAAATTGCTAAGAGAAACTGAAGAGATAAGATGTTTACGATAAATATTCAGGTAATAAAAAGGGGCAGGCCAAGGTGGGTGGATCACGAGGTCAGGAGATCGAGACCATCCTGGCTAACATGGTGAAACCCTGTCTCTACTAAAAATACAAAAAAAATTAGCTGGGTGTGGTGGCAGGCGCCTGTAGTCCCAGCTACTCAGGAGGCTGAGGCAGGAGAATGGCGTGAACCCGGGAGGCGGAGCTTGCAGTGAGCCAAGATCGCGCCACTGCTCTCCAGCCTGGGCAACAGACCGAGACTCCGTCTCAAAAAAATAAATAAATAAATAAAAGCGGGGGTGGGGGTGGGGGCAGCAATGAGAAATTAGTTTTCCTCTCTTTCAGATCTACAGTACTCCTCAGAGCCAGTCACTGTTAACAGGTTTATTTTTTAAATTCTTATAGAATATTTATATTTGCAAGAACAGATGTGACACACTGGTGAATCCACTGTTGAACTTAAGAACTAAAACACTAACCAATAATGGTGAAACTCCTTGTATATTACTCCTAAATTGTATCTTTCTTGTGTTTATTATTCTTACTTGTTTTGTTTGGAGATGGGGTCTTCTTGGAATTTTGCTCAGGTAGGGCTCCAACTCACCATCCTCCTGCTTCAGTGTCTCAAATAGCTGAGACTACAGGCACGCACTACCATGTCTGGCTTGTGTTTATTATTATTTAGGAATTTTTAAAAACCATGTATCTCCCCACATTTAAAACCACAGATACAAAAACATACCACATTGATACTGTTGTATATCTTGCTTATATTTTACAGTTCATTGCAATTCCTGAATAGTTCTCTTGTATAGAAGCAAGCTGAGTTTTTAGGTTGATTCCTGTCTTTGGTTAAGGCTATATAGCAGACTCTTAGAGGAGAGATGTGAATACATGTCTTTGGAATAATTTCCTAGCAGTGGAAATGCTGTGCAGTTTACTTTTGGTAGATGTGGCTCGCGTTGACTCAAGGAATACGTCACATGTGCTTCAGCCACAAGGTCACATTCTGAGTATACTGATTGGTGAGCCTGGGTTTCTCCAAAAGTCAGCAAGTAGCTTATGAGATGTACCTGACCAACCAGAGCATTGTTCTGATAATCCGTCTATGACATTGCTCCCCATCTCCAGGCACTGGGATCCCATGGCAGTTGCAGCACTGAAGTGGAGAAGGAGACCCAGGAGAAGATGACCATCCTCCAGACCTACTTCCGGCAGAACAGGGATGAAGTCTTGGATAACCTCTTGGCTTTTGTCTGTGACATTCGGCCAGAAATCCATGAAAACTACCGCATAAATGGATAGAAGAAGAGAGAAGCACCTGTTCTGTGGAGTGGCATTTTAGATGCCCTCATGAATATGAAGCTTTAGCACAGCTCTAGTTACATTCTTATGAAATGGCATTAAATTATTTCCATATATTATATAGTAGGTCCTTCCACTTTTTGGGCAGTAGCAAATCTAGCTTTTTTGTACAGACTTAGAAATTATCTAAAGATTTCATCTTTTTACCTCATATTTCTTAGGAATTTAATGGGTATATGTTGTCTTTTTGGCAAGGTATATATGCCTTTTGGCTCAAGCAACATGTATATCACTGTTGACTTTTTCTTTCTTAGATCTAGTTTTAAAAAAAAACACCACATAACCATTCTTTGAAGAAAGGAAGGGATTAAATATTTTTTTCCCTAACACTTTCTTGAAGGTCAGGGGCTTTATCTATGAAAAAGTAGTAAATAGTTCTTTGTAACCTGTGTGAAGCAGCAGCCAGCCTTAATGTAGTCCATTCTTGCTAATGGTTAGAACAGTGAATACTAGTAGAATTATTTGGGCTGCTTTTAGTTTCTCTTAATCAAAATTACTAGATGATAGAATTCAAGAACTTGTTACATGTTATTACTTGGTGTATCAGTAATCATTTAAAAGTAAAGACTCTGTCATGCATTTTTCTCCCGTTCATTTTCTTCCTTGTCTCCATGATGACCAATGGTTCATCATTTTTGATAATGCATAATGCACTTTGACCCAGATGGTCTGCAGAATTTCACTTAGGACATTAGCGCACAAACAGCACACATATCACATACCCATTTATATACATAATTAGAAAATGTTTGTGATACATACGTCATGTGATTTCACCCAACAAATGTTTTGGAAAACAGCAAGCAACTAGTCTGTAGTTTCTTTTCTCTAGAGAGCCTTGGCCTGGGGCAAGTTATTAAGCATATTTCCTTTCTGGTGGGCTAGATGATGTGCATTATACCTGCAGTACCTTCACACTAGCCCTTACAGGTTTTGTGGTGGTGGTGGTTTTTTTTTTTTCTTTTTTGAGACGGAGTCTCGCTCTGTTGCCCAGGCCGGAGTGCAGAGGAGCGGTCTCTGCTCACTGCAAGCTCCGCCTCCTGGGTTCATGCTATTCTTCTGCCTCAGCCTCCCAAGTAGCTGGGACTACAGGCGGCTACCACCACACCCGGGTAATTTAATTTTTTGTATTTTTAGTAGACAGGGTTTCACCGTGTTAGCCAGGATGGTCTCAATCTCCTGACCTCGTGATCCACCCATTTCGGCCTCCTAAAGTGCTGGGAATACAGGTGTGAGCCACCACACCTAGCCTAGCCCTTACAAGTTAAATGTCCTGTGGCCCTCTTAGCCGAAAGTCTTTGGTTGCAAAAGTAATTGCTTATAGGTGAAAACAGTTGAAAGAACTTGGGATTTCCTTGTTCTGATACAAGACGACAACCAGATGACCTTAAAAACCCTCATATTTAATATGACTCAGGATTTTTTTTTTCAGACCACTACTGTCTCCAGTTACTGTTATTTCTCTGTTCCTTTTTATAGAATTCCTCAAAAGAGTGACTGGATGAGGTGTTTTTTTTTTAACTGTTAAAACCCTCAAGTCTTGCTATCCCACTGAAGCTGTGTGTCAAGATCAGCAATGCTGTCCAGGTTGAGAAAGCTCATCCTCTTCCTCCTTGACCTTCCGTACTCTGACAGGGTTGACCATTCCTTCATTTAACCACTTTTGTTTTTTTGAGACAGTCTCGCTCTGTGACCCAGGCTGGAGTGCAGTGGTCTGGTGTGGTCTCAGTTCACTGCAACTTCCGTGTCCCCTGCTCAGTCGACCCACCTCAGCCTCCCGAGTACCTAGGACTACAGGCACACACTATCACACCCAGCTAATTTTTCTGTTTTGTTTTGTTTTTTTTTAAGACGGAGTTTTGCTGTGTCACCCAGGCTGGAGTGCAGTGGCGCAATCTTGGCTCAATGCAAGCTCCGCCTCCGAGGTTCACGCCATTCTCCTGCCTCAGCCCCCCGAGTAGCTGGGACTGCAGGCACCCACCACCACGACTGGCTAAGTTTTTGTGGTTTTTTTTTTTGTAGAGACAGGGTTTCACCGTGTTAGCCAAGATGGTCTTGATCTGACCTTGTGATCCGCCCACCTCGGCCTCCCAAAGTGCTGGGGTTACAGGCGTGAGGCACCGCGCCTGGCCAATTTTTCTGTTTTTAGTAGAGGCAGGGTTTCTCCATGTACCCTGGGCTGGTCTCAAACTTCTGGGCTCAAGCGATCCTCCTGACTTGGCTTCCCAAAGTGCCGGGATTACAGCTGTGAGCCACTGCACCCAGCCGACTTAGCTTCCATCGTGCAGTATTATGCTTTATTGCTTCTCATTCATTCTCTCCCTCGTTCTTCCACTGCACCCAGCCGACTTAGCTTCCATCGTGCAGTATTATGCTTTATTGCTTCTCATTCATTCTCTCCCTCGTTCTTCCTTCAGCTTTTTTTTTTTTTTTTTTTTGGAGATGGAGTCTTGTTACTCAGGCTGTGGTGCAGTGGCATGATCTCGACTCACTGCAACCTCCCGGGTTCAGGTGATTCTCCTGCCTCAGCCTTCCTAGTAGCTAGGACTACAGGTATGCGCCACCACGGCCAGCTATTTTTTATATTTTTAGTAGAGATGGGGTTTCACCATGTTGGCCAGGATGGTCTCAATCTCTTGACCTTATGATCTGCCCTCGGCCTCCCAAAGTGCTGGGATTACAGGTGCGAGCCACCACACTTGGCCGCCTTCTGCTTTTATCAGTCTCTTCACGCTGCTGATGAAGACATACCCGAGATGGGGAAGAAAAAGGTTTAATTGGACTTAAAAGTTCCACATGGCTAGGGAGGCCTCAAAATCATTGTGGGAGGCAAGACACTTCTTACATGGTGAGGGCAAGTGAAAAAGAGGAAACTCCTGATAAACCCATCAGATCTTGTGAGACTTAATATCACGAGAATAGCACGGAAAGACCAGCCCCCATGATTCAATTACCTCCCCCGGGTCCCTCCCACAACATGTGGGAGATCTGGGAGATACAATTCAAGTTGAGATTTGGGTGGGGATGCAGCCAAACCATATCATTCTGCCCCTGACCTCTCCAAATCTTATGTCCTCACATTTCAAAACTAATCATACCTTCCCAACAGTCCACCAAAGACTTACTTCAGCATTAACCCAAAAGTTCACAGTACAAAGTCTCATCTGAGACAAGGTATGTCCCTTCACCTATGAACCTATAAAATCAAAAGCAAGCTAGTTACTTCCTAGATACAATGGGGGTACAAATATTGGGTAAACACAGCCATTCCAAATGGGAGAAATTGGCCAAAACAAAGGGGTTACAGGGCCCATGCATGTCTGAAATCCAGCAGGGCAGTCAAATTGTAAAGCTCCAAAATGATCTTTGACTTCAGGTCTCACATCCAGGTCACACTGATGCAAGAGGTGGGTTCCACCCCTGTGGCTTTGCAGGGTACAGCCTGCAACGATCCTGGGCAGCTCTGCCCCTGTGGTTTTGCAGGGTACAACCTCCTTCCCGGCTGCTTTCATGGGCTGGTGTTGAGTGTCTGTGGCTTTTCCAGGTGCACGATGCAAGCTATCAGTGGATCCCATTCTGGGGTCTGGAGAACGGTGGCCCTCTTCTCAAAGCTCCACTAGGCAGTGCCCTAGTAGGGACTCTGTGTGGGGCTCTGACCCCACATTTCCCTTCCACACTGCCCTAGCAGCGGTTCTCCGAGGGCCCCACCCCTGCAGCAAACTTTTGCCTGGCCATCTAGGCATTTCCATACATCTTCTGAAATCTAGGCGGAGGTTCCCAAACCTCAATTCTTGACTTCTATGCACCTGCAGGTTCAACACCATGTGGAAGCTGCCAAGGTTTCGGGCTTCCACCCTCTGAAGCCACAGACCCAGCTGTACATTGGCCCCTTTCAGCCAGCCATGGTTGGAGGGGCTGGGACATGGTGTCATGTACCTAGGCTGTACACAGCACAGGGACCCTGGGCCCAGCTCATGAAACCACTTTTTCTTCCTGAGCCTCCAGACCTGTGATGTGAGGGGCTGCTGTGAAGGTCTCTGACATGGCCTGGAGACATTTTCCCAATAGTCTTGGGGATTAACATTAGGCTTCTTGCTACTTACGCAAATTATTTCTGCAGCCAGCTTGAATTTCTCCCCAGAAAATGGGTTTTAATTTTCTATCAAATAGGCTGCAAATTTTCCAAACTTTCATGCTCTGCTTTCCTTATAAAACTGAATGCCTTTAACAGCACACAAGTCACCTCTTGAATGTTTTGCTCCTTATAGAAATTTCTACCAGATACCCTATATCATTTCTCTCAAGTTCAAAATTCCATAAGTCGCTAGGGGAGGGGTAAAATGCTGCCAGTCTCTTTGCTAAAACATAGCAAGAGTCACCTTTGCTCCAGTCAAGTTCCTTATCTCCATCTGAGACCACCTCAGCCTGGACCTTATTGTTCATATTGTTATCAGCATTTTGGGCAAAGTCATTCAACAAGTCTCTAGGAAATTCCAAACTTCCCCACATGTTCCTGTCTTCTTCTGAGCCCTCCAAACCGTTCCAGCCTCTACCTGTTACCCAGTTCCAAAGTTGCTTCCACATTTTTGGGTATCTTTTTAGCAGCACCCCACTCCTGGTACCAATATATTGTATTAGTCTGTTTTCATGCTGCTGATGAAGGCATACCTGAGACTGGGAAGAAAAACAGGTTTAATTGGACTGATAGTTCCACATGGCTGAGGAGGCCTCAGAATCATGGTGGGAGGTGAAAGGCACTTCTTATGTGGTGGAGGCAAGAGAAAATGAGGAAGAAGCAAAAGCAGCCTGAAAACCCTATCAGATCTCATGAGACTTATTCACTATCATGAGAACAGCACAGGAAAGACTGGCCCCCATGATTCAATTACCTCCCCCTTGTTCCCTCCCACAACACGTGGGAAAGTTAAGACTTGGGTGGGGACACAGCCAAACCTTATCACCAAGGACGTCTTGGACTTCTCTAATGTTCTATTGGTGAGACCATATTAATTTCCTGGCTTTATTACCTATACTGAAGACCCAAATTTGTATCTCAAACCCATTTCTCCTGAGCTGTAGTCATTAAATTGCTTATTTGATATTTTGACTTGGATGTCTGGTAAACATCTCCATCTTAACATGTCCCAAACTGTATCCAGTTTTGTTAAGGCTTTACTCTCCTTATTGCTAAGTGTAGCAACTCCTAATCTCTGCCAACTGCAAATACAGATCTACCAAACTGGAGAAACATGAAGCAACACTCATGTTCAAGGGCTTAGACTCAATTTTTAAATGGGACGCCACCAATATTTTTATTCTGGATTAATAGAGTTGTGCTTATTTATATAACTGCTTGACTATTAATACTGACCCAAGCAACTCAATGTTGCTAGTCACAGAAACCAACAGCAGAGAGGTTTTATTTTTTTGAGATGCTCTTTCACCCAGACTGGAGTGCAGTGGCACGATGATCAGGACTCACTGCAGCTTCGACCTCCTGGGCTCAAGCCATCTGCCTACCTCAGACTCCAGAGTGCAGGGATTACAGGCATGAACCGCCATGCCTGGCCGGGAGGGTT